ATGAGCACGGCCAGGATGGAGCCGGCGAAGAAGGCCACGTTCTTGGCCACGATGGTGAGCAGGGGGGAGATGAAGCAGTTCATGTACTTGGAGGCCGGCTTGTAGCCCTTGCTGAGGCGCGAGTGCAGCTCGTGGTCCAGCTCGTTGAAGTGGCGCAGGTAGCAGCGGCCGGAGAGCGACCAGCAGCGGGCGCCCAGGCTGCCCGGCTCCCGCTTGAGGATCTCGGTGTAGCTGAAGAAGGCGTAGAGGATCTGCCAGATGAGGATGAGCGGGCAGAGCAGGAAGTTGGCCACGCCGATCCAGAGGATGCGGGCGCTCAGCTTGTCGGCCAGCTCCAGGCGGTTGCCGCCGCGCTTGTACTCGGCCTTGAGGCTCCACTCGTTCTCGAAGAGCGAGCCGGGCCCCCAGAAGAAGATGAGCTCGAAGTTGTACTTGAGGCCGCGGGTGTAGAAGACGGTGTCGCCCAGGCCGGGCAGGCGGAAGCGGATGGGCAGCAGCGACTTGTTCACCATGGCCACCATGTAGTTCTTGAAGCGCAGGATGCGGTGGTAGATGTCCAGCTCCGTCAGCTCCTTCTTGTGGATGCAGATCTGATGCTCCTTCTGGATCTGCACGATGCGAGCCTGCACCTCCTGCCAGCTGTAGTAGGGCAGGTTGGACTGGCAGGGGGAGGGGGCAGCGTTACAACCTGGGGGAGACCAGCAGCGGGTGCACTGCAAAGCAGCCAGGAGAAACTACAGGTCCCAGCATGCACTGCTCCCACCGGCAGCCAGGGCCATGCTGGGAGTTAGGCTTCACGCCAGTGCTGCACCCTGCTCAGATTGCAGCTGCCGGGTGCCGCCCTGGGCAGGGAGGGGGCCTCATGCACCCCGGCCGGGCTGGCAGGAGAGCTAGAGAACGTGCGTGGTTGCCACAGGCAGGCGAAGGCTGGCACACCCGTCTCCCTGCCCGGAGAGCGCCAGCCCTTGCCCACCGGGCACTGCTCCCCCCTCCCACGGGGAGAGCCCAGGCGCTCCGAGTCCCAGGCCCTGCCCTGTGCCGCAGGCTCATGGGCGCGCACAGATCAACGTTACTCGGCTTGTCAACCCTCTCTCCGAGACAGACCCTGGGCTGGGCCTTGGAGTCTGGCAGAGCCGGGGAAGCAGCCCCCCTCCCCCGCGGCGCCGAACCCCACGGTGCCTCAGTTTCCCTACCCGTCAATGGGGATTCCGGCCTTGTCCTGGGGGAGACGGGCCGGTAATCCGAACGTGACCCCTGCTCTATGTTCGCCTGAAATCTCACGCCAAGGGAGGTGTCTGGGGAACGCTGATGAGTCACTGTTGATGCTGCTCACACGCAGGTGTCATGGTTGTACGGGAAGTGAGGAAGCAGAGCAGCAGCCAGCGAGTGGGGAGGGCTGGTCCGGCTGCCGGGGCCACCCAGCAAGACGCAGGGGAGGCT